ACGGGGCATTTTTTGGCTAGCTAGCTAGCTAGCATAGCTGATGTAATAAGGAGTAACTTAGGCTACCTTTATTTTAGCAAAATAAAGTTATGTTCCACGCGGACGAAGTCGAGTGTACAGCTATTATAAATATATAAGTGCTTATATTAAATTTATTACTTAAAATAATTCTATTTCATATTCATCACTTGTGGTGTATCTATTTCAATTTGAGACAAACATAATGTCTTTTCTGAAATTTCTTACCATTTCTATATTATTTGACAAATATTTTCACACAAACCAAAGTTCATCGCAGCGATTTCAGTCACTATCTATGATTTATGTGTTTGAATGTTTTGATCAGCATTTCTTGGCTATGGTCAGCGGAACCATTTCGATTGTATCTCACTGGGTACAAACCTGGGCCCGCAATCTCAGGTTTAATCCGAACGGACTGTGCCGATGACGCATCGGTTGCTATCTTTAAAAATGCGACAATCGAACGATCGTCGGCACGGCTCGTCGGGTCAGAACCTGACAATGTAATCCCCATTCAGATATTCTCACCGTCTATCATATCATTGCGACTTATCTTACTACAAATCCATTCTTGGGCTTAATCAATTCCATGCGAATGAATTTTTCCATGTCAACGCTTTTGGCCGACATTTAAAGAGTTTGATTCTACGCATGTGAGTGGATAACGATGCTCGGGAATCTGGGGATCCTCTACTAGTAATAGAAACGTAATATATATATATTATATGTTTAGATCAACAGTGGATGCCATTAAACTAGTAATAATCTGACTTATTATAAACACGAAATTTTCTGAGTATGGATGAGTGTTTGTTACTCTTTCACGCAAAAACTACTCAACGGATTTTGATAAAACTTTACAATAATATAGCTTACATATCAGAATATATAGGCTATAATTTAAAAAGATTTTGGGTGCGTCAGTTAGTAAATAGTAAATCCTAAGTAACCTGCGATGATCGGTGTAAGGCGCTATAAAGGTAGACCACCGAATATATATGATTATTATCAGAATGTGATATTCATCCCTACAATAAGTGGGCTATCCAATAGTAAAATACTTTACAAGTTTAATCTCAGAAACTTTAAAAACTTTAAAGAACAAATTCTGCATACATATTATACATAGAAAACACCCAGACCGATGCAAACAATCATACTTATGAATACAAATGTTTGTGCCGTGCGAGGAACCGAACCCGCGACCATCGGTCGTAAAGCGGTGTGCTAAACCGCTAGACCACCGAGGTCGTCAAATATACAAGCAAGATGCAAGTAATACGGAACCCTGAATGGTCCCGTTTTGTTCGCACATGTCACTTATTTTCTCGCGAGTCTGTTGGCGCAGGAAATCGAAGATGGCGCTTGGAAGGAGTCTTTGATCTGTTATCGGTTCATCAAACGGTTATGAAGTAAAGCGATGTATGTTAATATATCAGCAAAAGTATCTAAATATTATACTATATTATATATCTACTAGCTTTGGCCGCGGTTTCACACGAGTGAATAATATAGCTTGTGTTATTCTGATGTATAAGCTATATTATTGTAAAGTTTCATTAAGATCCATTGAGTCGTTTGAATGAAAGAATAACAAACATACATTCATACTCACAAACTTCCGCGTTTATAATATTAGTAATAAATCTTTAAATATCTAAGTTCAAATTCAAATTCAAATTCAAAAATCATTTATTCATGTAGGACATTTTAGCCGCTTATGAACGTCAAGTTTTTACATTATATTTTTTTCCCTACCGTCCAGTTCGGTATACAGATCCAATTGAGAAGAACTGGCAAGAAACTCAATTGAATTACTTTTTTTTTAAGCCAGTTTATTTACAATGCATAGGTATTTATATAGGTGTCTATGTCTAACATTAAATGAAAATCCCGAACATGAAAACTATTGCCATGCACGCTCGTCATTCAAGTAATCGTTTAGTGAGTAATAGGCCTTGCTCAGTAAATATGAATATGAGTGTTTTGAATTTATTTAAGGGTAATTCCAATATATCCTTTGGCATCTTATTGTAAATTTTTATACTTATTCCCATAAAAGACCTATTGACTTTTTCTAAACGATACTTGGGGATAGCAAGTTAGTCTTTAAATTTAGTATTAATATTATGAATATTGCTGTTTTTTGAAAATAAGTCAAGATTTTTATGAACATATAGGATATTTGAATATATAAATTGAGAAGCAACGGTGAGAATATTTGCCTTTTTGAATTTCTTTCTTAATGGGTCATGACTCTTACGTATATATATATAAAGAATTAGACAATCATGTCTGATTATTAAAAGAATGTACTAAGCTAAAAGTTTAGTATATTTAATAAATAACATTATATACTATTTATTAATTTGTTAATTCACTTTTTATTAATTTTGGAATTCATTTCTTTTGACTCTAGTTCATTGAACTCTTGGTATATACACATTAATTTCCTTCCGCTGGTTTGGAGCCATCTGCACTCGCCCTCTATCGTACGGTGAAGCTGTAAAGGCCAGCTGCGGCCAACAACATTAGAGAAGTCCGAAAAAAAACTGATAACTTCTTAGAGGACGCATTTTTTATGGATGATAATGGAATGATGTTCTGGCTTGCGCTGACGGTTTACCCTGGCGGGACAGGTGTCCCGCCAGGTTCTACAGGTGTAGAGTAAGACAATATGAGCATGAGATCAGCTCAGTTAGCCCATCGTGGTTAGGATTGGATAGGGTGGTTAGGAATTTATCACGATGGTTTTCAGGGGGAACCACGTGGATATCAACCTGACATGGTACATTGCTAGCAATGGGGTTATTATTCCACATTACTAATCTCCTTTCCCTTAAAGATCATCACCATATCAATATATGTGTAATCCTTGTTATAGTATTTATGTAGTATACGTAGTTTAATAATATAATTCAACACATTATTTACAGTTTATTCACACTTTATATTTTGATAAAGAGCTCGAAATTTAATATTTATGTCATTTCCTTAGTAATAAGTATAGTATAAGTAAGGAGCCAACAGAATATCAGCGCTGCAGAGTTATCTGTAGCTTTATGCTGAGTTGGTTGCCTTTTCACTTTTGCGGCACGTAAAGTCACCTACATTTCTTTTATTAATTCGTGTTGTTTCTGTATCTCGTGTATGTTATGTGTCTGTAATTGTGAATAAAGAATTTATCTATCTATCTATCTATCTAAAGGACTTATTTTGTATAGTCACTGTTTAATGTCAACCTTCAGCTAATAAACAACTCTCTTCCCCTCCTAGAGGACTCATTCTGTATAGTTACCTAATTCTCCCTTCAGCAAGTTACTATGTACTGAAATGGGTGAGCCTAAGGTACTCACGCAAAGGATATGTTACTAAATCTACCACGGATTGGTTGGCTTGGAAGTTTTTTTGTTTCTTATCTATCTGCGATCAGCCAATTAGCTTTTATCAGATTTTATAGCTTTCGTTATCTGTCGCTTTGAGTTACCACATCCAATAATGTGGTCCTTCTTTTATATACATCTGTTCTTTTAAATCGTAGGCAGACGTGACCTTTTCAGCCTGCATACGTAATTCCTAGAGTCCAAGAGAGTTGTTGCTAAAGGGTTGGTATGGTGTTGAAGTCTCTGCCTGTGAGCCTTACAGGAGCGTTTTATCTCTTCGTGCACCGTTGTGATCTCTGTGTAGTCATACACCTCCCGGTTTTTTATGTACCAAGGTTATGGTCTTTAACACTTTACTTTGGTAACGCTGTATTATTTCGATATTGGAATGACTTGCCGATCCCCATAGCTCTATACCATATGTCCATAAAGGTCTTAAGATGAATTTGAACATAAGAACCTTATTTTCCAGGCTTAAAGCTGATTGTCTGCCTATTAGCCAGTGTATGTCTTTAAGTTTTATATTTGCCTGTTCTCTTTTGGCCTTAATATTGGATTGGAAGTAAACACAGTTTAGATAATATTATCTATAATTCCTATTTCCTTAAGACATTTAGTGTCGAACTTTCCTGGCACACTGATCTATCGATGTTCGAATTATATACTGTGGTGACGGAATACTTTTAAAGAACTTTGCCACGTTACTTCCAAGATAACGAGATAGCAATTTTCTGGAAGAATTACTATGGAAGTTCGCATCCCAATCGATTTAATCTTTAATCCAGTAGATGAACACTTTGAAAAGTTACGTTTTGATCTTTTATTACTTATTTAATCAACGGATCACAACATGATATTAAATAGCTAGATAATTACATTGTATTTATAGTACTTTTTATTTTAAATCATATTATATTGATTACGGTTTAAATTTAAATTATATTTGATGTCTTCAATAAAACTGAATGAATTTCTATGATTACTTTTACAAAGGCGTGTTTATTCCAAGGTGTAACAATAAATAGTCTTAGACAGCGCCTGGTCATAAACTAAGCAAAACTTTTCCTATGAGAACTACACAACTAATAGAGATATTTTCTTTAATTTTTTTGTAAATACATTTGAACGAAAATATTTTGTTAAACATTAAACAGCTACTCTAGTAGAATAGAATAGAAAATCCTTTATTAAAATAAAATTAATTGATGCTTTTAAAAATTTTAAAATTAATTAATGCGAAAATGTAGTTGCGAATCTGGCGCAGTTTTCGCCGAACAGTTAACATTAGGCTTCCAAACTATTATATATCCGAAATCTTTTCATTGCCTGAAGATGCCTCGTTCAGAGGCGGAATACGTGTCGCAATATGGATATAAATTCAATTACAGTCGGAATTCGATTACGCAATTAAATTACAAGATAATACCTATGGGATCTTAGTCCTTTGGAGTGGTCTTCGTAGTGCAATAGGTGATGGTTACCACTTACCATTACAAGTAGCGTCAGGTTATCTGCCATTCGAATTACATAAAAGACTACTTTAGTTAGAAAAAGTAAAGGTGCTTGTACTAATTTAGTATAATTCTCAATTTACAGTATCGCAACAAACTGAACGAGCAACAGAACGGCAGGCTGTCGGCACAACGGGCGGCGCTGGGGGCGCGGCAAGAGGAGATGAGAAGCATCGACCGGCGGGTCTCCGAGTTACAAGCACGCCTGTTGAGGAAAAGAGCACTCAATCGACAGCTAACAACCGCGCACCGCCATCCACAGCAGCAACAGCAGCAAAGGTAATTAATGATGAGCATGGTGAAGGATGCTATTGACCTGCATTTATTTATGTCGTGAAACAAGCTAATTGGTGTAACTCTCGTAGCTACTGTTTCAAATACAAATCAAAAATGACTTCATTCAAAACATATATATCTATTACAGATACGATAAATTAAATGTACTGTTAGTTGGTAATGTTACATGCTTTTGAAATATGATCGTTATACATAATAAAGCTTAGGTTCAGTTTACTGTGCTGATTGCAGCAAATGCTATTAAATTAATGTCACTAAACAAAAATTATTCAATCAAGCAAGCATTACCTGAACAGGAGGGAGTAAAGGTACACGAGTCGCAAATAACGAGATTTTTTTTTAAAATTAAATTTGCCAAATTTGTTTGACCTAGTATGCTGCAATAAATGTAGCACCTGCCTTTTACATATCGTTAATTTGGTATAGTAGTAGAGATACAGATTTAGGTATAGCAGCCGGGTCTGATGTAGCATTTGTATTATTAATGATTTTATACATGTAACGGGATTTCACTTAACATCGCAAATCGGACTTACTCGTATATGTATGTATTTTTCCTAGAAAGAGGTGAATTTCTTCAAATCTGAATTTGACGCTGAAGATAACAGTAATTACTATTTTGGAGTAGTTTTAATTCTACGAACTAGGTGACTTTGGCATAGATAGCCACGGATTTTTTAGATCCGGCATTCCACAAGATAGACCATTTAAAATTAAAATCTACTGACTGTCTGAGGAATTTAATCTATTTTCTAGAAGGGCCAAACCAAGTTTTCCAACTCGTATCCACCCACAGTGAATTCAGACGCATCTAACCCATCCATTTTGTGATCAGCCCTCTTCAACAACTGTGTATCCAACTAAAAGTAAAATAATACCGAATGTCAAAAAGTTCCTTCCTCAACGAAATATCTGAGGACCAATACTTTGTCAAGAAAGATTATTACGACGCGGTGCGGACATAAATCATCATCAACTGATCGACAACCTTATCCACCTTATTACAAAACGATAGGCCGATATTTACAGGGATAATCTAAATTCGATTTTAGATTATAGATTTTTACAATCAGTTCTTGCTATATTTTTACATACCATGTTATATATAACAGGATACTAGGCATATTTCCATTTCAAGTATTGACGCTATGGAGGACTATATAGTACTTGTATATTTGGGGATACCTACTGCAATAATTAACTTAATGCAAAATCAAGCTTTCCGGAATGCAGCTATGTTTTTATTAACGGTATTTCCAAAAGATTTAATACATTGGAAAGACGACATCAACCTGACTCTGGGACAATTCTAGAATATAATTGAGATGGAGAAGAATATCTTAATTAAAATGATGAAATCTAATCAACTGCTAATTATTCAATAGAATAAAAAGTGATATTTACAAAAGCACTTATTTTATTTATTTTAAAATATATGTTTATTGTCTAGATGTAATGCAATCTAAGTGTAAATATCCATACATCGGCTATTCAATTCAATATTCAATTGCAATTTTATCTTTAGAAACAAAATATTGTCATGGCATCTCTTTAATCTTCTAGAACGAATAACCCAACGCCTATGCAGCAGCTTTCAAACTACACGGGCAGCGCGAATAGTCAACCAAAGAACCAACAGCCGCGAGGGAATGTTGCCGCCGTCGAGCCTTATAACCATGTGCCTCATGCTCAGAGTGTTAGCCACAATGCAAATTTCCAGGTAACACAAAGTTCATTTACTTAAGATATATATATAGGTTAGTTAAAAGTTATACGTAGACATGTGTACTACATTTTAAACTATGAATAACAAAGTAACTGATACTGAACTGATACTTACTGGTGCAATGCGCTTGAATAGTTTGTAGATATGAACAGCATTACAAGAATACATCGTGGTTTATGAATGGCTATATTTGAGAATTATAATGTTGTCTAGGCGTCTAGAAAAATCCCGGCCATAAAGTAGTCTTCAAACCGGAAAACAGCATGGAAGCAATCTGTCTATATAGATAGATAGCACAAAGTATTTTGTCTTGTGCAAAATATACTAATAATAAATCTCAACTCCGGGTGTTTGTAACAGTATTATTTTTATTATTTCAGGCAATGAAGCAAAATGTAATACAAAACAACGTGCCATTAAAACAGCTTACACAATGTGATAATATGCAAGCCCACATGACGCAACAAGAAGCCCATTACTTGCAGCAGAAACAGATGATGAATCCACTCTACAATGGTTACCCTCATGTACAGCCAGGAGACCAATATCAATACCCTAAGCATGACAACATCAACCACGTACAACAGGGTATCAGCAATGCTTACGAGCAAAAGGGCATGTTCGAACATGTAAATAAATATTCTGATTATCCAAAACCACAATATAGTCCAAATAGTACAAGCAGTTCGAACAGCAACCAAACTGGTAAAGAATTGAAGATCAACGAACAAGAATTCTTACCTGAGTTTGCTGCAAGTAAATCGGATCCGAAATATCAAACGTTGCCATATAACACCAAATTTCCACAGAGTACAAATGGTAAATTAAAGCCTGAGAATAACAGCAAGAACAACGAAGATAAAAATGCAGCGAATATAAACGTAAACCATATGACTGTACATTCAACGCCACTCACAGTAGTGAACAAAAGTCTCGCGACACCTCTAAGTCAAACGGAAACCACAGATCCACAGGAACATACATATCAGTTGCAGAAATCTGACTCCTCCAGTAGGTGTAACCAGGAGGGGAAAGAGAATCATGCATATCCACAAAATTCTAGGCTAAGTCAAAATAGTCAGAGCAACGAAGGCTCGAAGAACAGCGCGGGGAAGAGTCAACAGGGTAATACTATTAAAGGAAGTTCTCCGAGTTTTGGATCTAATACAACGACAACTAGCAGTTCTATAGGCTTTGGGGTAAGTTCTTTTCACTTTAAATTCTAGTGCATCTTTCTCACATTTAAGTTACAATAGGTCATTTCAGCTTATATCATGTCATTGCTACTCTCATATCATCTGTAAATATCACCAATCATTCATTCCTTCCAGAAACCTGTATCAAGTGTAGCACCCACAGCGGTTCAGGTCTCGAGTGCGAAACCATCACCCATCTATCAGACATCATCCACTAAGATCCAACCGGTCCAGCCACAGACCGTTCAGACCCAAAGCATTTCTGCACCATCTTCAAATCATGTAGCTAGTAACGTGGTGACTTCCCAACCCCAGATCGTTAGAAACACGGCGTCAGGACTGTCAACTAGTACGGGGAATAACTTCAGTGGGCAGAATACGTCATCTCAAAGCATCATATTATCTCCGCCACAAAGCGCCAGTACACCGTTGTCCACACCTGACGTCAGCGGTACTGATAAGTCGCCGAAGCCAGCACTACCTCCGAAACCTGCCATAAAGGTATGTGTCACATTTAACTATACATTATAGATTTTGGATTTATTTGTAGTGGAATGAGAAATCTTGTAAATTACAACAACAATTAATAAGATAAGGGAAATTAGTTTATATTCGTATGTACATATTGTAAAAAGGGATGAAGATCTCCCCAATGGAATGAGATGTTGATTAAGACCCAAATAAATGAATAAACCATGTGAAAGAAATTTATGAGAATTGTATTATTTGTAAATAATTAAAATACTTAAATTTTTATTACAGACACCACCGCGACAGTCAGCAAATAACGATGCAGGCTTCAACCAAAACTCAGAGATCACACCAATGCCAACAATACCTGTACCAGAGTCGAATGATAGTGATTCACAGCAGAATCAGAAGGAACCGAATGGTGGCAACGATATGATTATCAAAGCACGCCCACTAACGATAAGAAAACCACCATTAAACGAACAACAACCTAAACTTCGGAACATGAATTCAGCTAAGAACGGTATCAGCGTCAGCATCAACCGTCGCATTGAGATGCCACCAGCATTCCTGTTTCCTGAAATGGATCATTTGACATTGGATTCCGTACCAAATGAAATGCAGAATGGCCTAAAGGATAAAGCGAAGCCTAAAGATGAAGTTGATAGGGCACTAAATAACAACATATCGAATACAAGTGATAGACAAGAGGAAAGTAAATACAGTGTGGCAGATATAGCCGAACAGATCAGTTCGGTCGATTTGAACGGTCAGGATTCTCAGGGCTCTGAGAATGTACTGAGGCGATCAAAGAAAGGCAACTTGAAACAAGGAGGCAAGGCACCTTTGACAAGAAGAGTGAGTTTTGATCCGCTCGCGTTGCTATTGGATGCTAGTTTAGAAGGAGAATTGGAACTGGTCAAGAAAACAGCAACACAGGTAATTTATTTATATGATATCCTGAAATAATGTGACGCAAAATTAATAAAATTTAAATGTTTAACAATGTCTGAAGAACAGCTTGGTGATCGATTTGGTATTACTAGCAATAGCACTAATTGATAGCAATCCTCTCCTGCAACTGAATTGGATGCACTAATAATACTATTTAGCGATTTGTGAGTACTACGATCATTTCTTACATTTTATTTTATTTTACCTGTTCGGAGTTTCTCTGCCACACGATGGACCCGGCACCCGCTCGGTCGATCCATGGAATGCTAAGAACTTTTCTCAAGACGGCCTCAGTGGTCTAGCGGTTAGCACACCGCTTTACTTCCGATGGTCGCGGGATCGATTCCTCGCACGGCGCACACGTTTATATTCATATGATTGTCTGTATCGGTCTGGCTGTTATCTATATATATTTTAAAAAATCTAAGTATTTGTATCAGTTCTCTAGTACCTATAACACAAACTCCGCTTACTGTGGGCCTAGATGGCGCTGTGTTAATTGTCCAGGGTTATTTATTATAATATTATGCAGGAATTAATGAAGTAGGTATGCGTTATTATATTATTTGCTATTCTGGTTTCAGGTTCAAAACGCGAGTGCGGCCAACGACGAAGGCATCACAGCTCTGCACAATGCAATCTGTGCCGGACACTTTGAGATTGTCAAGTGAGTTTCTATTTGTTACATTATTAATACTACTAAATAGAATAGAAATAATAGAATAGAATAGAAAATCATTTATTCAAATAAACTTAATTTAAGCACTTTTGAATAGTCATAACAATTTGTTTTTTATCTACCACTCGTTCGGAAAGCTGTCTCATCACAAGAAGAACGAGCAAGAAACTTGTGTGTTGCTCTTTTAAATAATCCTTGTAAGTTTACATTTACAAGTCGAAACGTGTGAATACAAACTACCAACAAGCACTAATTTTTTGGGTCAAATATAATCTTGCAATAAGATTAAATCAGTCGTAGTGATAAGAGCAGACCAGTCCCTACAAGCAGCACTCGTTCACGAGTATGACGGATGAGCCAGCCATCACTGCGCTCGACCATATTTTAGGGAGCCCATTGACCCGGCCCACCACGCCGCCACATGTCTGGACATTTTAGTGAGCATGACTACTCATTCCACACGACCACGTCACAGCTACAAAAATTACTATATGGTAGTTACAGTATTCGCACTTTACATAAGGATGCATGCGGCAATCAATACAAAAGCCGCTACGCTATCATATATCAAGAAAGCAGTATGAAAATTAAAATTATAACGTTGTCCGCAAATAAACTTATTCTTGCTATATATTGCTATCATCTATAAATTCATCTATCTTATAATAGGCTTTTTTACATAACATTTGTTTAATATAAGATTTGAATTGCCTCTCTGTAAGATTTAGAGTAGACTCTGGCAGTTTATTATAGAATCTTACGCAATTACCATAAAATGAATTACTAACTTTGTGTAGACGGCATTTAGGTAACATTAGCTTATTTTTATTGCGTAAGTTTCTACTTGTACAGTCTTTAAGTTTCTTGAAACTATCTAAGTTTTTCCTTGTATACATAATATTTTCATAAATGTACTGTGAGGCAACGGTGAGGATATTTGATTGTTTAAAGCATTGACGTAATGACTCTCTAGAACCCATGCCATAAATAGAACGTATGGCTCTCTTTTGTAAAATAAATATAGTATTTATATCGGCAGCTTTACCCCATAGCAGTATGCCATATGACATAATGCTATGGAAATAACTAAAATATACAAGTTTTGCCGTCGCCACGTCTGTTAATTGCCTTATCCTTCTAATTGCATAAGCAGCAGAACTAAGTCTACTGGCTAATTTTGAAATATGGGGCCCCCATTGTAACTTCGAGTCCACTGTTATTCCTAAAAAAACTGTATCATTAACAAAATTTACTATTTCATCATTAAGCAATAGCTGCGTATTTACTTGTTTTACATTAGGCAGCGTGAATTTAATGCACTTAGTTTTGTTGGAGTTCAATAATAGATCATTACATGTGAACCAATTTAGTATAGCAGAGATAGCATAATTTACATCGTCTAATTGATTACATTGGCGACCAATTTTAAACACTAACGAAGTATCATCCGCAAATAACACTATATCTGACGGAGTGACGTCACGGACGTCTTGGTGTACAGTACATCGTTACGTCAAATTATTTGTTAAAAATAAAAATATAGTTATAATTGTTGTGAAAATTTGTTTATTTTAATAGCAGTGATCCAGTACTTAATATTTAGTGTTATCTAATAATAATATACAGTAATTGCAGAGTAGTCGTTGTGATAGTGGCGATCTGGAAGTTCGTTGGTGACGGTATATTTGAAAAATTCAGTGCATTACAATACTAAGTAAATAGTTATCAGCGCCATCTTTTGACACCCGTTCACATCAACAAGTATCGATCGATAACAGTGCCATCTGTTGACACGCGTTAACACCAATAAGTAGCGATCTATTTTATTTGACACAGAAGAATGGTTGTAAATTGTGGTGCTTGTGGAAAGTTCCTCTCACCGGCAGATGGTGCTGTATGCACTAAATGTAAAAATATTTACCACGCAGCTTGTTTGGGGCTTCCAAACTTAGCTAAACTTAGACCTGGCTGGATTTGTCCTGGGTGCTCAATGAACATGCCTAGAGATAACTCATCCGAAACACCTGTAAAGGGTATGAGCAGCACATATACCATGGACAAGCGTGAGAGGCAGAATGTGGCGGATGATGAATCGATGGATTGCACGGCGTTGAATACCACGGAGGAGTTTAAAATAGAGCTGGCACTGGAAATTAAAGATTTTAGAAGTGAGCTGAAATGTGTGCGAGAAGAAATGAAGGTTCTTCGTCAGGAAATGGCAGAATACAGAGCTTCGGTCGCCGCCTGTAACACTCGAATAGACAACATGGAGCGAAGGCTAGACGTAGTAGAGCAAAAGGTTTCGGAGGCTGGTGTGGGCCGCACAGCTGAGCTAGAGGAAGTGGTACATTCGTTACAATCCCAGTTAAATGAACGAGACCAGGAGTTACTCTCAAACGATGTTGAGATAGTGAACATACCGGAGTTACAGGGAGAAAATCCGTATCACATAGCATCGGTGGTAGCAGCCAAGCTGGGTGTGCCGCTGGAGGAGCGCGACATAGTATCCGTGTCCCGAGTGGGGGGGCGCCGCGCGGCGGGGGGCGAGCAGGCGTCCGGCCGCCCGCGCCCTCTAGTTGTTACGTTCGGCCGACGCTCATTGCGGGACCGACTGCTCCAAAGCGCTCGAGTAAGGCGAGGAATTACGACACTAGACCTGGAAGTATCGAGAGAGGCACATAGAGTCTATATAAATGAAAGACTTACTCGATACAATAGAAATCTGTTCTACAAGTCCCGAGAAGCCGGTCGTGAAAAGGGCTGGAGGTATATATGGACAAGAAATGGAAAGATTTTTGCACGCAGGAGCCAGGACGGTATAGCGCATAGAATAAAACTTGAAACAGACATTATTAAGGTTTTTGGCAGTGAAGTGGTTAGTCCTAATAATAAAGTATAGGTTGCATTTTAATATATTTATTATTTTTAATCAAAGAATTATCAAATGTAGGAATATTTTTATAGTGTTAGGCAATGGGTGCTGTGATCCCTGTATTTGTGTACAAATAATAATGATAAGTATATATCAGTATAACATTTATTTAGCAAATTCTCTTTATTTTTTTGGTTTAAGCTATAGTTATAAATTGTTTGCACTAGTAGTATGTGTACATTGGTCTTGTAATTTGATTCATTTTATTAATGTTTATATGTGTATGTACATGGAATGTAGAAATATGTATTGGCTCTTATATTTGTTAGTAGAAGAACAGTTAGGAATAACCACCATGAAATATAGTGAATGGACAATTCTTTGTATGTGTAGTAATATGTATAGTAATATAATGAAGAATGGGTGGGAAAACATATATTTTAGTGTACTGAATTATTACTATGGAATGTTGGCTTATATAATGTTAATTTTTTTAGTCAATTGGTGGAGTAGATGTGCGGCTGTGTTGATTGACATCATGTGGTTGTTATGTCTAATGTATCTAGTATATATTTACCTGCATTTTATAACAAGTCATAGCATTTGTGCAACATATTATATGGATATCAGACAATGTATATATAGATTGCTACAAAACTTAAAATAGAGTTCAAATCGCGTCATATTAAGTTGGGACTTTTCAATGCAGGTTCTTTGTGTACTCGACAGGACGAATTTGTAGCCGCCATGGGCCGATATTCTATAGACATTGTGGCAATAAATGAGACGTGGATTAGGGAGGGGGAGGAGGCCCGTGCGCCGTTGGTACCAGATTATCGCTTGCGCCATGCCCCGCGACCCGACGCAGTGCGAGGAGGACGTGGTGGGGGGTAGGATTTTATATACGAAATAACATAGGTGCCAGGGTTTGTCCCCACCCGGGTGATGGGAATGTCGAGCAGTTGTGGATTCGTTTTAAAATAAATACGGCCACAGTCATTATTGGCACTGCATACCGTCCACCATGGCAAGACATCAATCTTTTTCTGGATGCACTGACAGAGTCCATAACTGCATTTACTGGATTTGACCATTTGTTTCTGTTGGGAGATTTTAATATAAATTTGTTAAACAATGACAACAAAGTAAGGCTTTTTCAAAATTTTCTTCAGTGCACATCTCTTAATCAATATGTAAATGAACCAACACATTTCACAGACCACAGTGAAACATTGATTGACGTAATTTGTTCTGATACTCCTACAATTAAAAATGTGACAGTTAATTATATACCAGAATTGGGTGCTCATGCATTGATATCAGCGGAGCTATCTTTAAACAGAGTTAAACCGGTACCATACTGTACTACATACAGACCTCTAAAGAATATAATAATAGAAAAATTCAATAAAGATTGCAACAGCATAGATTGGAAGTATATAGAGGGACTAGCTAGATGTAAATGAAATGGTTGTAGCCTTCAATAATTTTATGCTTGGATTATTTGATCTCCATGCTCCAGTGAAAACACTGACAATTAAGCATCCATCTCCTCCATGGTTGACAGACACACTGCAACAAATGATGAAGATCAGAGACAACAGCCATAAAAGGTATAAAAAAACAAAATTAGAAATGCATAAACTTTTTTATAAAGACATGAAAGCCGTAGTAAAGGCAGCCATTGTTTCAGAGAAATTTGCCTATTATAACAAATACATTAACAATCACATTCATAATCCTAAAAAGTTATGGTCCAACCTTAAAACATCTGTTCTCCCAAAGAAAATGCATGGGGACTGTATTCCTGAGTCATTTGACAACCCAGATGCCTTAAACAGCCATTTCCTGAATTTACCGGGTAGAGATTCTGTTGAATTGTCTGAACTTACATATTATGAATTCAACCGATTTAGTAAATCTGTATTTCAGTTTAGCACGGTTTCAGAACAGGATATCATAAATATTATTAGGACACTTAATTCCAATGCTCAGGGTACTGATCTTATTTCACTTGACATGATCAAGCTCACTTTACCATATACACTTAGTGTCATAACTACTATAGTAAATAAATCAATTACCTCAGGCATCTTCCCAGACTTATGGAAGTGTT